GACAGAAGCAAAGGAAGGGACCGATGACCGCAGGAGAGAGTAAGAAGCACCAGGAGAGGCTCCAAGGTTAGGTGCCGGCCGGGCGCGTGCGTTCAGCGCCGTCTGTGCAGAGACTTCTGGAAGGCTCTGGCTTGTCCCGAGCTCAGCAGCGCATGTCTTCAAAGGGCTTCTCCTTGCAGGCTCTGGACGGACAGCGGGTTGGTCCTGACGTCACCCTCGTCCGTCAGGATGTCCAGGCAGATGTGACCCCGGGTGTCGGTGCTGGGGTATCGGCAGGGTGCGCAGCAGGGGGACCGCTGGGGAGCTCCGGGGAAAACGGACGTCTCAGATCTTCATCTACTTTGCAGGCTGCAGGGTGGTCCCCGTTTGAAAAGGTCTGATTCAGGGAAGGCAGAAATCGCCTTGTCGCCAGACACCACGGGGGCCACTGCTCCTTCTGTAGCCTCTTGTGCCCGGGCCCTGGGCAGCATTCCTGCTGGGCCCGGGTCCTCTGCCGCAGCAGTGGCACTGGCGGCGGCCGGGTCGCAGCTCCTGAAGGCCGCCGGGGGGTGTGGGCAGGGAGACAGGACCTCGGGCGAGCACGACTGCACCTTCCTAACGTTTCATTTCCTGAGCGCTTCTGCCCGCGTGGGGAGAGAGCATGGACTTCTGCGCAGGGTCTGTGGTCCTGCCCTGGCTGACCGTGTGCGTTCCCCCCGAGGAGCTCGTGACCCTCCACGTGCGTGGTGTCCTTTCCCGCGAGGACAGTGCTTCTTCCCAGGTTCGGGGCTTTTGTTAACGTTCTCGCTTTTCCGCAGAAGCCACGTTCTCCAGCCTGGCACCAAGCAGACGGGACGATGGTGCGCGCTCCGCGTCTCCTGGCGGGAGTGCAGGCCCCCGGGCAGGAACGGGGTCGACATTGTGTTGTGAGCCTGAAGAAACCTCCTGTTCCTCGTGAGCCGGAGGATGTGTCGTTACCTCTGGGGTTAACAAATGCCCTCCCTCCGTTGGCTGAGACGACCTCCCTGCGTCCGGTCACTGGCTGAACGGCAGCGCTGCGTTCCCGCCCGCCCAGCCCTGCGTCCCGGGGAAAGGCCGCTCGGTGGCCACGCCTCACGCCACTCAGGCGCTGCGGGCTCTGTTGGCTAACGGGTCAAAACGTTGTTGGTGCTCCTGAAGATTAGCACTCCGGAATGTTCTTGAAACGCCCTTGCTCTCTGCGTCTCACAAACCGGAGCTGGGAAGGCTTTCCTCTCCGCTCTCCGGACGCACAGCGCCGAGTTCACACGCTTCCCGCCGCAAATGTTTAGAGAACGCATTGGCGAGGGCTTCTGGGCCTGGAGTTACGCAGTCGGAAAGGTGCTCCGTTCCTGACACTTCACAGAGTTTTTGTTTCTTCTGTTCGTGTTGGTGATTCACTTCTGAAAGAGCGGAGCATCTCCTCGGACTGTCTGCTCCATGCACAACAAGTACGTAAGCTGTTTACCTCTTACTTCGAGAACACCCCAGCGCCCGGGAAGGCTGTGTACACGGCACGGAGGCCCTGCGCACCTGTCACGTTCAGTCCACGCCAGGACCTCCGCACGCTGCTCGATGCTACCAGTTCCCCCTGGAAGTCCTCCCCTGCGCCAGGACCATCCAGGACACAGGCCAAGTGGCTGTGCTCCCTGGGCGGAGCCATGCCCTGCACTCCGTGACCTCAGCCCTGCAGAGCGCTGGGGAGTGACTCTGAAGACTGTCCTCCAGTCAGGGTTTGCACGGCCTTGGGTTCTCCTGATCAGAGCTGGGCACTGTCGCAGGTCTCCAACAGCAGCGGGCCGTGTTCTCCTTGGGGCTCCGGTGCCCAGCGCCCTCCTTCTGGTACCTTGCCCCGGAAGTCCAGCAGGACGTGAGGTGGACTGGAGCCAGCGGGCGCTGGCTGTTCCCCCAGCCCCACTGACCGCTGTCCGGTGTGATACGGGCCGCGAACACCCTGCGTCGTTTCCAGCCGTGCAGGGAGAGCCGGACAGCCGCTGCCACCGCTTCTCCACGGCCCCACGCAGCATGAACACGTGGGAGCCCTGAGGAGGGGAGGCCGCGCCACCCCACCGCGGGAGGCCGGAGCTCTCGGCACAGCGGAGGCGCCGCAAATGACACCGCCACCACGGCCTCCGTGTCTGAGGCTTCGGATCGGCGCAGGTCAGGGCCTGGGGCTCCCAGCTGCAGGCAGCCCCGTCCTTGGCGGCCTCCACGGCCCCGTCACCTCGTAAGCGGCAGGCGCTGTGCAGGCTGCCGCTCTCCCTTCCCGCGCGCTCTCTGCTTCCGCGCTCCCACGAAGGAGGACGAGCACCCAGCGCGCCGACAGAAGCACGTAACTGCACCTCTTCCCGGTAACTCCTGCGCAGCTGGGGCGAGCCGTCAGTCATGATGCCACGGAAGGCGCTTGGGGGGTGCCGGCAGGCCCCGTGGGGGCCGCTCCCCTCCTGGCATCACGAGCCCTGCGCCCAGCACCCTGCCGGCTCCGCCGCCCCGTGCCCCGACCCTGGCTGTGCTCCCATGGGGCCCTCGGCTTCCCACCCCCCATCTACGAAAGTGCTGCCCCAGGCAGGTCCCCCGCGGCGATGGAAACTCTGCGCACGCTATCATCTTTAAAGGCAGCTGAGCAGAAAATCAAAATGAGGTGGGAGACGGACACGGAGCCTCAGCCCACTACTAACTGTCCTACGAGACGCAGCCGGGAACTTCCGCGGTGGCGGAAAAGGAACGGTGAAGAGGAGGCCAGCCCCCCTGGTAACGATGCGGACGCGGAGTCTGGAGAACGCACCCTTCATGGCTGGCTCCACACGACTGCTCCCAGCACCTGCAGCCGCGCACGCCTGCCCAGGGTCAGGCACCTCCTGGCCACACCGTAGCCGGACACGTGCTCCTGCGGCTTCCCGCACAGGAACCCACGTCCCAGGCGGAGCGCCCCCCTTCTGTACTCTGGCCGCTTCTGGAGAGCCCCGGGTGCGGCATCAGCAGACCGCAGGTGGCCACCACAGCAGCATGAAGCTGCTTCGGCATCCAGGAGGGTGTCCGGAACACGTAAGCGTGGGCTCCTGGCAATCCCACAAGCAGCCGGGGCCCTCTGCGCCCACAGACATCCGTGCTGCTCAGGAACCACCCATCCACCCAGCCAAGAGCGGGCCCTGCTCAGTATTTGAGGGCAATGTGGCAGTAAGATGGGCTCCTGCTGGCCATGCAGACCTGGGGAGCGAGGACATCCGATGACTGGGAGCCGCAGAGGGGTGTACGGACGCTGGGCGGAGCAGAGGGGAAGTGGACACACTCCCACGTACAGAGCGTCTGTCGAGGGCAGCCACAGAATCCCCCGGGTCCACCACACCACGCTCACTAAGTACACAGTGGGGGAGAAGGCAGCTCCTTGGAGAACTGGCTGGGCCTGCCTGAGTCAGAGATGGGACACACGGACCCTGCCCCGGACGGAGAGTGAGAGGCCGCCTACTGGGGAGGCAGGGCACACAGCCGCCTACTGGGGAGGCAGGGCACACAGTTGCAGGGGACGGGGGAGACTGCGGGCCATCTGGACTGCAGGGGACATGGGCGGGGGGTTGCCGTTTCGGGCACAGCAGAAGCAGGCTGTCTGTGGGCTCGTGCTGGCCCCGGTCCCAGCCCCTGGGGAGACGTCAAGCAAACAGGTACTTCCCGGACCTGCACAAGATGTCCGGTGCAAAAGAAGTTAGTGTCGCAGGATAAACCCAGATCTCGTTACCAAAGGAGAGAAGTGCTAGAGCAAGTGAACACAATTTGCCAGGCTCTGTGCCTAGTCAGTTGGGGGTCGGAAGGAAGCATGTCAGTCCTGATTGTATGGTTCAGAGAGCGTTTCTGAAAATGGGAAAGGTGACCGGAGGTGGACACATGCACCTGCAAGGGGCCTGAGGAAATTGGTGGTGGGAGTCCGGGCCCGGGACCCGGTGAGAGGGCGTGAGCCGAGAATCTGCGGCAGGCAGTGCAGGCGCCATGCACCGAGCAGCCACAGCAGGTGGACAGCGCCGCCCGCTCGCCTGGCCTGTGGGAGACGCTCCCTGAAGAGCCATGCGTCTGCAGACTCAGCAGGCGGAGACAGAAGGAAGCTGGCATGGCTGCTCTGGGGTGACACGGGGACTGTGAGCCTTGCTGTTAGGAGCTCATCGGACATGTACGTCGTCAGGACCAGGGGCCCCAACATGATGCCAAGAAGCTGGGCCAGCTGAGACGACAGCGCACTAGCATCCCATTCGATCGCGTGCACGAGACACGAAACCATGCTGTCTGCAGCCTCTGCAGGGGACTTTTGCAGGACGTCCCGAAACAAAACAGTGACCCATAAGACACTGGCCACTATCACTTAGCCTCCAAATGTCCGGTCCTAAGAGCACCACCACGTGAACAATAACCAGGCAGACGAGTGCGTGATCAGAGCCCTGACCGGCACACCTTAGCAGCCAACCCACAGGCCCAGTCTCAGGAGGCTTACGATAGCTCCTCGAGAGAGTTGATAAAACCCCACGGTGGAAGCTCACAGGGCACCCTCTCAAGCCCGGCCCCTGCCCTCTCCAGGAGCTTTACACTCTCGCTCAAGAACGTGGCTTTGCTACCCACCACTCTGAGTCTGGTCGACCTCTTCGTTCCCTGAGGCGTCGGGACCAAGAACCACGGCACCCATGGACACGAATCCCTCTAGCACGTCTCGCCTTGTCCCTGTCCTTACTGGCTTAAACCAGTCCCAGGAACCAGCAGGAGGGCTGGTGGGGAGAGGGGCAGCTGCGGGGGGGGGCTCTTCCTGTGAGTCTCCGTGTGCAGCGGGCTCAGCGTCGGGACACGTTCACAGAGAGTGCTCGTGCAAAGGGCCGGGGGCATCTCAAGGGCTCACGGAGAGCGGCCAGAGAGCACGGAGAGCAGCAGGAGGGGCCCAGCAGGCACGGCCCAGCCAAGAGGGCAACGAGGGACGGCTCCTTTGCAACGCATTCCCCCGAAACATAGTAAATAAGAGTTCTACTTACTGCTCCAAGCATGATTCTGAAAATCAGCCACCGAAAGCCCCACAGCACAATCTGGGACGGGGGGGTCCCCGTGGGCAGTCGAGACAGACTCCAAAGAGGGCACAGGAAGATCCCCAGAAATCCTGTTTCCAGAAGCTGGGACTCCCATCCTGCAACGAGGACAAAAAGAACACAAAGGGCCACGTTAGCACCAGCCATTCTCCAGAGCAGCAAGTCACCAAACTCCGTTCAACTTACATGGTCCCTAAACCACACAGGTGGTGTGACGACGTGTAGGGCCAGACGACCTGACGGGAGCGTCTGCCTGGTCTGCGCTATGGCAGGGGGAAGCCAGAGGGAGACACGGGTCCGGTGTCAGGGGCCCCAGCTCCACCTCGGGACGTGAGGGCGCGAGCCAGAAGCCTTGCTGAGAAACGCAGCGACCAGTGCGCACACGGCGGTGGCAGCGGCTCCATGTTCTCACAGGCATGCCCGGAGCTGGGACCTGAAGCAGATCTCAGGCTGCCGTCCCTTGGCCTTTCTGCATGCTGCCCATGTCCCTTGGAGCTCATTTTGCTCAAAAACCTCATGCAGCATGAAAGCTACTTTACACAAGAGTCCATGCACTACAGCCCTGTTCATAGAACGCTCCAGAATGAGTGGAACCGAACAGGAGAAACGGAAACCTCGCCTCCAGGGTGACACCTGGCGGGGGTGAGCGGCAGGGGGTGCCTGGGCCAAGACTCATCAGAGACAGCTGAAGGTCTGTGCATTTCACTGTAAATTTCTTCCTAAAACAAAACAAAACAAAACAAAACAAAACTGCCAACAGACAAACTTAACTGAGTTCTGAACCTGAGTTTTACGGCTGGACGGACAGCTCGTGGGGTCTGCAACTGGGATTGACATGCACAGAAGGTTAGGGCGAGGGACGGGGTGACGTCTGCAGAGCGGACGCCCAGTGTGGCCCTGGTGGTGGGTTTACGGGTCCCACTGCGCCCCCTCTTTGAAACTCTGTAGTTTGACACTTTTCATAACAAAGTGGGGGGGACCCGCTTACTCTCATGCCTTTGGGGATTTCTGAAGTCCCAGTTCCAAATCCGCTACTCTGCGGGAGAGGTCGGCTTGCTGTGAGGCAGTGCCCAGCACCTGTGCTGGGGCCGCCAGGGCCGCCAGCACACACCCTGCCTCCATCCAGAGGGGCTTCCAGAAGCAGGCAGAAGCCTGGGCAGTGCTGGCGGGGGGGGCGCCCTCAGAAGCAGCGGTGTGAGGTGGGAGCTGTGTCCAGGAAGGGGCACTGATGCCCCGCTCCGTAGAGACCCAGTGAGTGGCGTCCACCAGCCCTGACCAAGCGCCGGGAGGCCCGACTCCTGTCCGAGCTCCGAGAGGGAAAAGGCAGGAAGCCTCAGCACTTAGTCTGTTTTGGGAATTCCGGACACAGAGCACCCAGGGTCAAAGTTCCCTTCTCGTTCACGTCACCGGAAGACCTTGCTTCAAACTCCCTTTTTTGTCTCAAGCAGAAGAAACAGACTTTGTTCCTTGTGACGGTTTCTCCAGTCTTGTCTTGAGGGAGGGCTGTCGTCAACCTCGGGCTCGCTTCACGCAGACTGTGTTTCCCAAGCCATGTGCCTTCCTGCCCCGGGGATGCCACAGAAGGCGGAAGTGACCGGGCGCTGCGGCTGCTTCCCCAGGGGCGCTTCTGCTCGTTGAGAGACCTCTCAGGCCTGCCGCTGCTCCGGGCCCTCCGCCCACGCGCCGGGAGCGAGAGGGAGCCAGGAGGCCCTGCGGCACGGGGCAGCGGCTCGGGGCAGCGGCCCGGCGAGCAGGCAGGCGCGGGGCCTTCTGGGCAGAACCTGGCAAACCACAGAGACGGGCAGGTGGGGCGTCCGCCCAGAAGCCCGTGGGCATGGGCACGGGCACACTTGCTCGGCCCCCCAGTGCAAGGCTGGTGCTGCCCGCACTCACGGGAAAGCCCTGGTAGACTCGGAGCCGCTGGCGCGGGTGCAGAGCGTTCCCCAGAGCACAGGCCCGCCTTCTCTAATTGCCGCTACACTTCACACAGATGTGCCGAGCGGAATTTTAACACGCTGTTTGAGTGACACCAGTCAAAGTGATGTGCAAATGGCAGAGCCCAGAGACCCACTCAAGTGCCGGCAAGCGGTGACGGGGCGGGCGAGGGACACACGGCCACCTCGGGGACTCACGTGGACTGGCAGGGGTCAGCCGCCCTATTGCTTCCTGTGAACCTGCTGGAACCTTCCTTACCCTGCTAGCGTGCTCAGGGACAGCGGAGATACCTAAGCCCCTTGCCACCCACTCCCATCTGGCTGGAGCCACCAGGTCACTGGCTGCTGGCCCCCTTGCCATGAGCGCTCGCCGACACCGCTGGGGTGGAAAATGTCGCTGGCAGAGACCCCTGCTTCGGTGGATCCTGTCAAGTCTGAGCAGACTGGGCTGCGGCACAAGGAGCAGCACTGTTCTCGCCCAGTGCGGCGGGCAGGCGTCCCCAGAAGCCAGATGCCCGGATGGCTGGCTTCCCGCAGCCCTGTGGCTGGGTGCAGAGGATGGCCCAGCCCACGCTTGCCGGGGCCCCTCGACGCGGTGCTCCCTGCCGCAAGCGCTGAACGCCACCCGCAGACCCCACGGTGGCCTTGCCATAGCTCCAAGTACCCCCGGGAGGGCGCCTGTGCCTCCTCCACCTGTACTCAGACCCTTTTCCGGACGGGAGACCGCAGCCTGGCTCCTGCACTGCTGTGCCAACGCCCGCTTATGGGGCTCAGTCGGCTGGGCGGCGTCTGACTCGACATGGGCTCACATTACGAGCTCAGGGTTATGGGATGGAGCCGGCACAGAGTCGGTTTGGGATTTTCTCTTCCTCTGCACGCCCCCCCCCCCCAACTCTCTCTTTCTCTCTCTCACAAATAAATAAAATCTTTAAGAAAAACATTTCTCTTCCACGGTGACCCTAAAAGGCTCCGACCCCTTGGGTGTCTCTCAGGGATGCTGCTGATGTGCGGCCCCGCACGGCTCTGGGGGGATGGCTGGTTGACGTCCTTCAGGAAGCCACAAAGCCCGAGGTCCAGGCAGCTGCCTGTTTTCTGGAACGGCCCCTTCCAGAAACCTACTGGCTTATTTGCAATAGTGTGGACAAGCGGTGAGCAGGCCACATTTGGGAAGCTTCTACGTGAACTGGGGGGAAGTCCTCCAGTTCAGAGTTGCGGGGTCGGCGCTCTTGACCCTGACACTTGGACACTGACCGCCGGAGCAGCTGTCAGCCGGCCGGCAGCTCCCAAGCTATGTTAGCCCTTCGGCCATGTCCCCAGATAGGCAGTGGGACCAGGGCTGGGCCACACTCAGAGAGGCTGCAGGGCCAAACCCCCAGTGCTGCTGCTGGGACCGTGAACCCCAATGCAGCTCTGCCCAGAGCTCGGGGCCGACCACCACTGTTCACGTCCTCCAGGTCAGAGGGCGGCCACAGCCCAGAGCCCTGCAGTCGGTGGGCGGCTCGTGGGGCCGGGCCGGGGGGCGCTGCTCTCCTGGCTGGTGCGGTCGAGCTAGCATTTCACACTGTGGGGCACACGCCCTTGTCTGCCAGGCCGCTGCGGGGAGCCTGAGGAAAGACCCCACGGAACGTGCTGAACGCGGACCCTCGGCACACGCAGAAGCACAGGGCCTCGGTCTGTGGGCCCCGCGTCTTGCGCCTCTGGCTCATCTCAGGGACCTGCTCTCGAAATAAAACCAGCATACCAGTGGCGCCGAGCTTTCTGCCCTACTTGGGGACATGTGGAGAGTGAAGGTGCTCTTCTGTTAAACACCCAGAGAACCCAGCGCCCACAGGCCCGACCTGTGCCTGCGGACCGGGGAGCAGCCGAGGGCGGCGCCTTGAGGCCGACGGTGCGGGGGTGGGGGGCCCTGGCCGCCCCTCCGGGCTTTGCCCGCTTGCCGCAGGAAGCAGACGTGCTCTGGCCGGCGAGGGGCCCGCGGGGCCAGGGTGGCTCGGGGGCCTGCACCGGGCCTCTGAGGAGGTCGCCCGGAGTCAAGGTCCCACACAGCACAAGCGCAGCCGCTTCTGAGCCCGGACAAAGACCTGGTCGAGGTGCCAGCTGCAGACGGCCGCTCGGGAGAGACGTACCGAGCCGGGGCTCGTCACCTTCCTGAAAATCAGTACAGTTACTTAGAATACTGACGCGTGGCACCTACGGATCCTTCAAGAGTGACAGCCGTCATCCACAGGAGGGGCAGGAAACCCATTAGCCTCGGGTTAGAAACCGGGAAGAGGCAGAGAGACGCCTCCCCTCTGACGGGCTGTCACTCCTGCATGGCGCCCCCCCCGCGGCCGCCCGGGGCTCCCAGCGGCACCCGGAGAGCACGCGCAGCTCTTCCACGCCGTGTTCTCCACCTTCTAGGTCCTCCGCCAGGGTGGGGAGTGACAAGCGGCCCGCCAGTCGCTGTGCACGGTCCGGCTGTGGCACCAGAGGGCTGCGGGCGACAGCGACGCAAGGGGCCCTTTCCACGGCGTGGGGGTGACAGAGTGCCCCACACGGTTCCGGGGTTACCATGTCTCTCACGGGTACCAACGCCTTCACCCCCTGCAAACCTCATCACCCCTGCAAACATCCGCCTGCTGTGGCAACCAGCCACAGCCAGCATGTGTCACATGTGTCTGCAGGAAAGGACGCCGTTTGAGGGGCCTGGCCTCGGTGACCCCTTTAGGCCATTGGAATGGCTTGTAGAGCTGACCGACCTTGCCCGAAGGGGACAGACTGGGGACAGTCCTTTGTCTCGAGCTGGGCGGTACTGATGCCAGCCTCACCCCAGAGATAGGCCCACACTCTTGCCTGCCCCCAGCCCTGGCCTGGTTGGAGGTGGGTCTCCCCAAGAACTCCCCAGAACCGGCATGAACCGAGTAGGGGAATGTGGCCCGAGAGGCTCTGCGCTGGCTGTTAGTCCAGGGGACAAAGCCTGGTTTCTGAAAGGAGAGGCAGGCCGTGGACTCCACATTTCGGAGGCAGGATTTGAGTCCAGTCGTGAACAGATCGTGAACAGGAGTGAATTTTCTAGCAAGTGGATACTTTCGGAAGAGTCAAAGGCTTCATGCATGCTCCCGATTACGAATCATTCAGAAAATTGTTAATCTGTGTTGTGAGGATGTCCTTGGGCGCTGCAGGGA